TGTGGTGAACTGGGTTTCTAAGTCCAGTTTCAGCCAGTCGGAAGAGTACCAATAGGAAGAGTCAAAGTAAAAATACAGTGTAACATTCACTATGAGTACTGATCAATTTATTTGTGTTCATGTCCCTTTTTATATTTTAAGAAACATGATTAATTACGAATTAATACAAGGTTAAGACAACATTTAAAGTAAACAAAACACCATTAAAATATAATCTTTAAAATCTAATTTAAAAGACTATTAAGTATTGCTACATATTTCAAGATGCCGTTCACGACATGTTCCCTTTAAAAAATCCCTTTTAAAAAAAGTGTAAATAAATAACTTGTTTTGTTTTTAATTAAAAAAAATATTAACATATTATTTTACACCAAAACATAATAAAATTATTTTTTTACAATTTTTATCATAAAATGATATAAATTCTGAGTTTTGAAATTTTTGTTCTAAGACCAGTTTAGGAAATTTTATAAGCTTTTATTTCGTGTAAAAATATTACTGGACTCGTCTAGGAACTTTGTTAAAAGTAAAAAAACCGAACGGCAGTCGGAAAATATGTATTGATTACGACCTTATATATGTTACAGCAATTTCTGTTATACGAGTTATTTGGACACTCAAGTACCCTTTGAGATCTATGCTATTCGATAGGAAATGTTATAAGCTTCTCATTGATATATAATTATTAAGTGAAAACGTCTCGGAACTTTTTCAAAAGTACAAAAAGCCACTGCCAGTTTGAGAATACATATTTTTTACTACTGCAATTTATCTAATACAGGTTACTTGGACACTAGAGTACCCCTTGAGATCTACGTGATTCGATAGGAAATTTTATAAGCTTTTCATTGATATATAATGATTAAGTGAACACGCCTCGGAACTTTTTCAAAAGTACAAAAAGCCACTGCCAGTTTGAGAATACATATTTTTTACTACCGCAATTTATCTAATACGGGTTACTTGGACACTCGAGTACCCTTTGAGATCTATGCTATTCGATAGGAAGTTTTATAAGCTTTTCATTGATATATAATTATTAAGTGAACACGCCTCGGAACTTTTTCAAAAGTACAAAAAAACACCGCCAGTTTGAGAATACATGTTGTTAATTACCGCAATTTCTCTATTATGGGTTATTTAGACACTCGAGTACCCCTTGAGATCTATGTGATTCGATAGGAAGTTTTATAAGTTTTTCATTGATATATAATTATTAAGTGAACACGCCTCGGAACTTTTTCAAAAGTACAAAAAACCACCGCCAGTTTGAGAATACATATTGTTTACTACCGCAAATTTTGACTGGCAATTTCTCTCATACGGGTTACTTGGACACTCGAGTACCCCTTGAGATCTATGTGGTTCGATAGGAAATTTTATAAGCTTTTCATTGATATATAATTATTAAGTGAACACGCCTCGGAACTTTTTCAAAAGTACAAAAAAACACCGCCAGTTTGAGAATACATGTTGTTAATTACCGCAATTTCTCTATTATGGGTTATTTGGACACTCGAGTACCCCTTGAGATCTATGTGATTCGATAGGAAATTTTATAAGCTTTTCATTGATATATAATTATTAAGTGAACACGTCTCGGAACTTTTTCAAAAGTACAAAAAACCACCGCCAGATTGAGAATACATATTGTTTACTACCGCAAATTTTGACTGGCAATTTCTATCATACGGGTTACTTGGACACTCGAGTACCCCTTGAGATCTATGTGATTCGATAGGAAGTTTTATAAGCTTTTCATTGATATATAATTATTAAGTGAACACGTCTCGGAACTTTTTCAAAAGTACAAAAAACGGATCTCCGGTTTGAGAATAAAAGCGATTACACGGCTATATTATATTGTTTACTACCGAAAATTTTGACCAGCGTTTTCTCCTACTCGGTTTACTTGGACACTCGAGTACCATTTTTGATTAATGCCTTTGGATAGGAAATTTTATAAGCTTTTATTTGGTGTATAATTATTGCCTGGACTCGTCTCGGAAGTTATTGTCAAAAGTAAAATATAACATTTTTTTAAACCAACTGGTGACCTCTAGCGGTGTATATTATAATTATATCTGATTAGAAATTGCTATCTTCACAGTCGTGATTATTTCAAGTATCCTACTATATTGTTCATTTGAAGAACAATTTTGATTATCAATATATAGCTATTTATTTCATAAATATTACATTCATATAATTATTTATAAGCGAAAATAGGTCTATGAATTATTGAATTTAGCAACTAGGACAAAAATTGACTATTAGACTAATATAATTGTTGTGAGAGGTATTAAACCACCTCACTCTTTTATAATCTGGTCATAGCTGCTGTAAATTGTAATATCTGATTTAGGTGAATTAATTTCTCTATAAAACTCACATATGAAAACAAATAATTTAAATGATTTCGCTTATTATAGAAACAAATTCTATGGATTTATGTACCGCAACTCATCCGCTAGTATAAATTATTTGTTTTTATTCTATACAAAAATATTCGTGTATAACAGCATATTATGTTATTTCAAGTAATTTGTATTTGAAAAAATAATATATAACCCGATTATACAAGTGTATTATCAGTAAAAATTCTGATATCACGGTAATGTTACATGGTGAAAATGCGAATTTGAACGACTCGTTCAGGAAAACCATAGTAAGGAGTAATTGATAANGGTAATGTTACATGGTGAAAATGCGAATTTGAACGACTCGTTCAGGAAAACCATAGTAAGGAGTAATTGATAAGAACCGTGACCGATCGTAAGAAATGAACGAAAGAACGAGTTATATGAACGGGTCATTTGAACGATCCGATCTAAACGATCCGGATCGTTCGATTGACCCGAAATTCCCATCACTAGTTGGCGCTTAAAATGTGACAAGATTATTGTGTGGTAATACTAATAACATACTGAGACCACGGTTATACCGTACACAAGTCAATTGCTTTTGTTTGTTATGATAACCATGTTTCCCTGGCGGATCTGACAATTAATTATGTTTTAAAAATATATCTATTAATCTACAATAATATTCACAATTATAGATACATTTAAATCTAATAATGCAATCCATCTATATCATTAATTACAATTGCGTATATCAATTAAAATCAAATCCAAAAGAATATAAATGTTGATAAAGCATTTTTTTTTTTTTTTT